TTCCATAATTCTTCAATCATTGTCGACAGTGGTCCAGTCGGAGGCCGGAGCTCCAACGATAGAGGTTCAGTGGTTGCCATTGTCGTGAGGCTTCGATTATTGGCGGTGGTGCTTTGGCAACGGTGGCTGATATATTTTTTTTATATTTAAATTGAGGGTATTTTGATCTTTTTTACTTTCAACTTATTTTTAATTTAGTCTCTAAGGACTGAATTGAAATTTTAAAATTTTTTAGGACCCACTAAAAAATATGTTGCTACCCAAGTCCTTCAATAAAATTCTCCCTCAATTTTTTTAGTTGAAAGTATATAAATAAATGTTATATATAAAGCATTAGCCACTTAAGTGAAAAGAAATATACTCCTTTATTTCTTTTTCCAAAGCTTCTCTTACTGATCTCTTTTCTTACTCTCTTCCTCTTTATTTTCATAACAACAATTTTATTCATGATTCATCTTTTTTTGTTTTAAATTAATTTGCACAATGAATAATTAAGCGTCGTGGGTATATATCTAACGTTATTGATATGTACTATCAAAATTATCAATTTTTTCGTAGAATCAATTTACAGTGGTGGTAAATTAATAAATACAAATATTATTGAGATTTTTTTATTGAACAAATGCATTACAAAAATTTGTCAAGAACAATAACGTGACAGCCGTCAAATAATGAAACATGTGTTTTTGGTAATAAGATCAATGGAAGGGCATTTTTTAGCACGGAAAAGTACTATTATTTATTATATTAGCATTAGTATTTAGAAGTAATGGTCGTGATGTGTTATCATTTTTTGTCAAAAGATAAAATATTCTTAAATAATGAAATTATCATTTTATTAATTTATTTGAACGACTAGTGAAACTTGAAAAGCCAAGGCGTCAACAGCTGATGTAAATAAACAAGATGGAGGAGGATCCATCTTCATTAATTAATGGTCTGTGTCAGAATTGTTAAAGTCGCAAGTTTCAATACACTTATAACAAAAATGTAAACCCGTTTCGTAAATTTAAATTATAAATTTGTAGGAGTTTACTTTTATTAATAAATAATTATTAAAATATAATTATAATTTAATTTAAATATATTAAAAATATAAATTATTAAAATTAAACTCATATGCATTAATAAATTATCATATACAAGACATAAAAATTTTAAAGTGAGGGAGCTTATTTTTTGGTTTTTTTTTATTTTTTTTATTAATATTAGTTTTTGCATTTTAAGTTTTTCTTTTTGAACCAAGTTTTATAACTTTTATAAATTGAATTCTTCATGGTATATATTTAATTTGTTCAACTAAAAAAAATGACAAGCTTAACAAGTTTAACCAATTTTGTATTTAGTCCAAATTTATAAATTAGTTGATATGATTTTGTAAATTAAAAATGTAAAAACAGTAAACTTAAAAGTAAACTCGTGAGTTTAATTGAGTTTATATTTAGTCTGAATTTATAAATAAATTAATATAATTTTATAAATTAAAAATATAAAAATATTAAATTTGTAGAGTCAATTTAAAAGTCTGATAACTATGATATATGTAACTCATACTCACTTTGAACCCCATCGTGCCCCAAGCTTGAGTCAATGGTCTATCGCTGCCGAGGAGGTCTTTCTTTAGAGAATTCCCAGGGGGAAAAAATTAGAAGTGTCCCCCAATTATTTACTCACTAGTGTTTAGTATTCTAAATTTTAATATAGTATAATTTTATCTTTTAATTTTAAAAATGGTGTACTAAACATCCTTCCATTAAAATAAATTAATTTTGACTTCAAAAATTATAAAAAATAAATAAAAAATAAAAAAGATATAAAATTACAAATAAATACTTTATAAAAAACTAATGTAAATTAAATTCAAAAAATAATGGTTAGCCAAAATCATATTTTGAGCTTTTAAATGGGTAAGAAATAACATTTTTATGATTTAGGAGGCTTAATTGGTGTTAATTTTTTATAAAGTATTTATGTGTAATTTTATAAGTCATTTTATATAATTTTTGATATCTTTTTGTTAATTTTTAAGCTAAAAGTTAACCTTTTTTTTAATGTAGGGTGACAGTGCACTATTTCAAAAAAATGAAGAGCAAAATTACACCATATAAAAGTTTAAAATAAAAAGCACCTGAGTGAATAATTGGAAGATAAAAATGCTTTCAACCCAAAATTAAAAATATGGAGATGTATAATGTTTAAACTTGAAAATATAAATAAAATCAAAATAATTATTTTTTTAATTTCTTTTTCATTTTAATATACTTCTAAATTGTAATTTTTTAAATCCAATTTGCAAATTAATTTCTGTTTTTTGTGGACTAATGGAACTAGAAGCTTGGCGTTGTTAGATTTCAGATGAAGTTGTGAATTACTTGTTGACTGCTCCTTGAAAAATTAGCGTAGTTGGTTCTATTTATAGAATGAAGAAAAATGATTAATTTTGATCATAGAATATTCATTTTTATTTTTTATTTTTTATTTTTTGTCCTTATTAAATAATACAAAAAAATATTAGAAATACTTTGCTATCCTTGTTAGGGGTATAGAGGTGGAAATTCATTAAAATTTTAATATAAGATGAATGATGTTTAATTTTTTTTTAATTTTAATCAAATATATTAGAAGTGATTTATAAATAAAATTAAATAAAATATATTCTATGCCTGTAAGTACCAAAGTAAATGTTAATCATTTCATGATTTCAACCTAAACTAAAAAAGGTGATGGCAAAAAAAGACCTTAAAATAGGTAATTATTACTATTATCATTATTTTAGTTAGTTATTACTAAAGTTGGTAATTTAGACAGGTCGAGTTTATTTGAGCCAAGCTTAAAATACTCAAATATATAAAAAAAGCCTATATAGCAAAATCGTCTCTAACCCCATGAACTTTCGGGCTTATTTGGATTGGCTGAATATCGAAATTGTTAAAATATTCTTTTATTTTAAATTTTTTATCCAATTCTAATATTATTTTTTTAAAAAATGAATATTTTTAATTTTTATCTTATTTTACTATTATTCTATTAATAATAAAAAAGGACTTTCGGTAGTCGGGTGAAGCACATTTAGATTTAGACTTGGCCTAAATTTTTTTAGATTTACTCGGGTAGCCTAAATAAGGTTGGAGTTGAAAAAATCTTTTAAACTTGATCCTAAGATTTTTTGTGTTTATTTGGATTGGCTTGAATTACTACCTCTAGTTACTACTTTCTTTTGTTCCTATTTATAAGGTAATTTTAGCTTCTTTACTAAGACTAGTGAATGATAGTTAACTTATTAAATATGTCATAAAATATTTTTTTTTTTAGCTTCACCCCTATTGAAAATAGGAAGAGATAAACACACAATATATTTTTGGCCAAAATAAATACATAATATATGATGAGACAAAAAATTAAATTTATAATAGAGGTAAAATTGGGTACTAAATAACCATCCGCATACATTATATTAAAAATCAAAAAATCTTTTTACGAAGTGCCGGTGCTGTGCAATACATAAAAATGTTATAATAAATCTATGCATAAAGATATCTTTAATAAAAAAAATATGCTGTATATAAATTTTTAATTTATCTTTTTATAATAATATTTTTTTCGTTAAAAAATATAATGCATTTTTTTGAGGAATTAAAAGTTAAAAATATAAAGTATTTTTAATATTTTAAGGTATAATCATTGTGTGTTTTTTTTCAATAGTTCTCCTAACGAAAAAAAATTACTTTATATTTATTTTTGAGTGAAACATTCTATTAAATAGAGATAAATATAAAAAAATAATGTTAGTTTAAAAATAAATAACTATTTTATTATGAGTGAAATTAAATTAAAAATTTCTTATATTTTTAAACAGAAACAGTATATAATTTGGTAAATAATAGCTTATGTTTCAAAAAATAATTTATTGTTAAGATAAATATTTTGTTGAAAAAAATTATCAATAAACAACTTGATAAACATGTTCTAAAGCATAAGATTTGCTTTTATTAATTTATGTTTATGAGTGCACTAGACTCAAACTCATTTAATTTTTTATATGCAAGATAAATAAATAAATATTTTACAAAATTAAAAATTTGAGAAATAATAATTTACTTAAGATTCATTTCTCCAATAATAAATATATTTAAATATTTTTCAGAAAAAGTATATCACAGGACAAGATTCGTTAATGGATAATGTTACTCTTCTGATCTCTATGAATGGCTTTAGCAAGTCCTTTGGTCTTTGGTCCAAAAGCTAGCATATCATGATGGCATTGGGCCATTCATCACCTAATATGAACCCTACATTCTTCAAGTTTGAAGGAAGGTCGGTGACAGTGAGATGATCATCAATATATCATGAAAGGTTGAAGATTATTTTTATCCTTCAAACGTGCATAAAAAATTATAAATATTTTTAAATTTAATTATAAATTAATCTTATCTCTCAATTTTAAAAATTTTTTTCATTATCACCTTACTATTAAAAACACTTAACATTTATTAATTATTAATGGGTCTCATTATTTTAAAATATTTTTTTATTAAATTAAGGGCTATTTTGGTCTCTCAACTCAAATGTTTTATAATAAAAAATTTTAAAAAAATAATTTGAGATCCACTAACGATCAATTAATAGTGAAAAAATGGCAGAATAATAAAACAAGAAATATTTAAAATTAAGGGATAAAATTGATTAATAATTAAGTTTAAAAATATTTATAACCTTTTATATATAATTTAAAGATAAAAATGACTTTAAATCTTATCGTGCGCGCGCTTTTTAACATCACATAGTATAATTTTTGACTTGGTCGTCTCGTGTCTGAAAAACACGGCATTTATATCCACCTTCGTTTGAAAACGCCTTCTTTTAATATGATCACGCTACAATATTACAAAGTCATGAATGCTGATTGTGATGGTTACTTCCTACACTACCCTCGACATGTGTCTGACGAGTGACAGCAATATTAAGCCCCACTCAGAACCTTCGTTCTTTAACCTCGTTTGCTTTGGAAACACTTGGAGTATTATAGCCAAAATTAAATCACCATTTTCTGATGAAGAAGAACGTCGAAGACAAGGTACGAAAATCATTGCGATGATTGTAGGGGTGGTATAAGTCCCAATTATGTTTCGCTGAGATACTTCCAATTGCTCGAGGTTATACAGCTCTTGCCCTGCCTTCCTTTCTCGGGTGTAGACTTTTCTCCATGGACGTCCAAATCTTATCACGACTTTATTAACACGCGTTTTGCTTGATTGATGGACAGCATACTCCATACTCCTTGCCAAAAGCTTCTTGGAAAAGTAATTTCTGATGGATTCGATGATTGAAGAAGAAAATGCAGTCACATGGTCCTGTAGAATTTTAGTCTTCCATGTTCTATATAAACCCACATTGCTGTAAGCTTGTTAGGTCAGTACTACTAGACGAACTTCGCAATGGACAGCAAATCTTCTGCTTCTCTGTTGATTTCACTTATTAGCTTTGCTTCTCTTCTGCTCCAATGTCACTCTTCTTCCTCAGATGACCTCAAGGTCAAGCATGTTTTTGTCTCTTTGTCTTGTTTTTTGAATTCCCAGGATTCAGTTTCTGGCTATTAATTATGTCTTCTGATAATGCAGACTTACATTGTCTACACCGGTAACAGCAATTCCGATGAAGCTTCTGCATTGTTACAGTACACAAGCTTGCTGCGAAAAGCTGCCGACAGGTAATATACATCAATCCTGTAAAACTGGGAATTTCAAGGTTGCAAGTACGAGTTTGTCATAAAAGCTTACATTTTTTAAATGTCGCACATAAATAATTTATTATAGTTTTTAACACACCTCACACCATAGGAAAGTTCAACTCACAAGCACGCGCGTGAGAGGAGACTTTTGCGCGCGCGCGCGCATATTTGATGAGAAGTTGACTTTTAAATTTTCAAATGATAAATCACTCTGTGGTTGATTTTATTAAATCTGTATCTGTGATTTCAGCGATGCTGCGGCCAGGTCAGTTCTCCATCAGTACAAAAGGAGTTTCTATGGCTTCGTTGTGAAGCTGACACAGAAAGAAGCTGAAAGAATGTCCGGTGAGCAAGAAGACTATTGGTTTATCTTCTTCAGAACTTAAATGCTCTGTCTTCGATACAGAGTTGTTAACCCGGAAAATTCACAATAATGCAGGACTTGATGGTGTGGTCTCCGTGTTCCCTAATCGAAAGAGACAACTCCACACAACAAGATCTTGGGATTTCATCGGCTTCCCACTGAACGTGCAAAGAGCCACGACCGAAAGTGATGTCATCATCGGAGTTCTCGATTCTGGAATCTGGCCAGAGTCCGAAAGCTTCAGTGACAAAGGATTGGGTTCACCACCTAAGAAATGGAAGGGCACATGTCAATCCTCGTCTAACTTCACCTGCAATAGGTGTATTCTCGTATACATGCAGACTTATTTAGTTTTAGTAAACTCCATTAACAGATTCTGCTGCCATATTTCAGAAAAATCATTGGGGCGAAGTATTACAAATCTGATGGATCATTCGAGGGTGAAGAAAAGTCTCCAAGAGACTATGATGGCCATGGTACTCATATATCATCCACAGCAGCTGGAAACTCAGTTAGCCAGGCAAGCATGTTAGGGTTGGCACCAGGAACAGCAAGAGGAGGTGCTGTATCAGCGCGCATTGCCGTCTACAAAGTTTGCTGGTTCGATGGTTGTTTTGATGCAGACATTCTAGCAGCTTTTGATGATGCCATTGCTGATGGAGTGGACATACTGTCAGTTTCTCTTGGAGGGTTCAGTGATGAGAATTATTTCAGAGATGGACTAGCCATTGGAGCTTTTCATGCCATGAGAAATGGAATATTGACTGTAACTTCTGCAGGAAATTCTGGCCCCAGACCTGGATCACTCGCCAATTTTTCACCTTGGTCTATTTCCGTGGCTGCTAGCACCATTGATAGAAAGTTACTTACCAAGGTTGGATTAGGTGACAACAAAATATTTGAGGTAATGTCACCACTTACCTAGTAACTGTCTCATCTGGAAACATTATCCAAATGTCAAGTTTTATTAATGATCTCCTTGTCCCATGTTTAGGGAGTTTCAATAAATACTTTCGACCTCAAGGGTCAGCAATATCCTATAATTTATGGAGGGGATGCACCAAATACTAAAGAGGGCTTTGATGGATCTTCATCCAGGTGACAGAGCCTTGAAGCTCTCTACATTGTGATAAGTTCTGGTTTTCATTCTAGCTAATGAAATAGTGTGATAAGTGCAGGTTTTGCAGCGGTGGTACATTGGATCCAAATTTGGTCAAAGGGAAAATTGTTCTCTGCGAAGGCAGAAGCCAAGCTTCAGGACCCTTTATAGCAGAAGCTGCTGGTGCATTGACACAAGGTCAAAATTTAAGAGACTCTCCTCTCGCTTTCCCCTTGCCTGCTTCATACATGAACCTGCAAGATGCTTCCAATATTTTCAGCTACATGAATTCCACAAGGTATTAACCATTCATTGAAGCTACAGATATAGATTAACAAAGCTTCTACAGAACTATAGCTTTCTAAAAGAAATTACTCGACGAAATCTTGCAGGAACTCAACTGCGACCATTTATAGAACTAATGCGGAAAAGGATACATTGGCCCCTGTAGTGGCCTCCTTCTCTGCTCGAGGTCCAAACCGTGTTTCACCCGATATTCTCAAGGTAACTATGGCTGATCATGACTTGGTCTCTCGTACATAGATAAAGATTAAAGTCTTATCTGTATCACAAATGTTTTCTTCTTTTTCAATATTGTAGCCGGATTTAGTTGCTCCAGGAGTCAACATTCTGGCCAGTTGGTCTCCAAAAGGCTCTATTTCTGAGGTTGACGGTGACAACAGGACCTTGAAGTTCAACATAATCTCAGGAACATCCATGTCTTGTCCTCATGTTTCTGGGGCAGCAGCTTACGTCAAATCATTCCATCCCAGCTGGTCTCCTTCTGCTATCCAGTCAGCTCTAATGACCTCGGGTGATACATCTTCCATCCTTGAATCACTAAACACCATGTCTGTCAACTTGCGAAAAACTAAAACATATATCATGTTGTGTTTGTTGGTGGTTGCAGCTAGACCATTGAATCCCAGGATCAACCGAGATGCAGAGTTTGCATATGGAGCAGGTCAAATAGATCCTGTAAAGGCAGTGAATCCTGGTTTAGTATACGATGCCGGTGAAATAGACTTTGTGAGATTCTTATGTGGACAAGGGTACAGCACAAGGACATTACAGCTTGTCACAGGGGATAGTAGCAGCTGCTCTGTATCAGCTAAAGCAAGTGATTTAAATTACCCGTCCTTTGCTCTTCCAACTCATCCCTCCAACGTCAATGTAGGTGGCAATTTTAGCAGAACTGTTACTTATGTTGGGTCAGAAAAGTCAACATACAAAGCCACTGTGACTGGTCCTCCTGGGCTGAAAATCCAAGTGAACCCAAACGTTCTTTCCTTCACTTCTCGTGGTGAAAGGCAGAGCTTTGTGCTAAGTGTTGAAGGTAGCTTGGAAGCATCTATAGTGTCAGCATCTTTGGTTTGGAGTGATGGTGATATCCAAGTGAGGAGCCCTATTGTTGTGTTCAATTCACCTTAATAGATTATTATTATTATTACACATTGAATAAGTTGAAGCAGAAGCAAAATTGAGTTGAGGTTGCAAGATATAATTTGCACCATGTATGGTATCGTTCTTTTTTTTTTTTTTGGATATTTGTATGGTATCGTTTTTATAATATATTTGACACCCACTATCCACATATGAAGGAATTAATTACATCACACATTTTGTTATACTTATATCTTAATTACTCTCCAATTTCATTTACGCCTTCCTGGGAATGAAAAAGAAAAAGAATCTTTGAGTTGATGCCATTGTAGAGAATAAGCAAAATTATTTCTCAAGTTGTAATTGTTTTACATAAAAATTTTCCATATAAAATTAAATAATAAAATATATTTAAAAAATTAAAATTATTTTAAACACATAAGGATGTGACTATAAAGGAGAATTTTAAAAAGCAAGAAATGCGCATAATGTTTATAAAATAAAAAATAAATTAAAAACAAGTCCCACTGATAATTTTTTTATATACGTTAAAATATTATATAATTTTTGTATTCCCAATAATCCAAAATTCCATTTTAATAATATCTATTTTTCTAAAAAAATTCAAGTAAAATAAAATTTAAATAGTAACACACTAAACGCACACGCGTATTTTTCAATTTCAGAATATGCAAACACCGAATATGGATCAAAGGTTTTAGTTACAAACTTCTAAATGTTCCACCCAGTATAGCTGAAGTCATAGGAATTATTTATGGTTTAAGTCTCTATTGGCAACTTGGCCACAATAAGATAAATTTATTTTTTAACTACATGGAGGCAATTAATATGTTGACTTGGGGATGCAGGAAAAATCGTTTGTTCAAAGATATTATAGTTAATACACAATCTCTCATCCATAGAGATTGGACAGTAAACGTTTAGCATTTTTAGTATGAAGATGATGTGTATGCTGATTATTTTGATAGAAATGCTTTTAATTTTCATAAAGTTTTTATATCTTTGATCATTCACTAATCCCACTTATAAGTTTGGTGGATGATGAGAAATCAACTCTTGAGATGGACTGTGATAGTATGCAGCTTTTCAGGCTTTTGTTTTCATTGTAATTAAAAAAAAAAAAATGCAAACACCCCAACTTTATGTGAGTTGACTAGTGGAATCATGCCCCCGGGGCAGACCCCGGCGGAGGAGAGAATCCGAGGCATGAAGCTAATCGCACGACCAGTGAACACTCAAATTGCTCTAAATTCTGATCCCTACCTAAAAGGCTAAAAGTAAAACTGTACAAATATATTTTCGATGCCATTTATAAATTAATTTTTTTCATTTAAAAATATAAAATATTTTTTAAAAAATTAAATATTAAAAAAATAAGAAATTTTTAATTTTTTGAGATATATTTATTATTTTTTTTAAAGTATCTCTATTAATAATAGCTTTATATTTATTATAAAGTGTTTAATGTGGATGAATATGAAAAGATAGGGTTAATTTAAAAGTAGGTAACTACTTTATTGAGGATGAGATTTGATTAAAAATATCTTATATTTTTGAATGTAGAGAGTATGATTTAAAATATTCATTTGATCTCATTTATAAATTATGATATAATTTTTTAAGTAATATTTAAAAAATATTTTTAAAATTATTTTTTATAAGAGAGAAAAAATAACATAATATTATTTTTTATATTTATTATATAGAAATATATTTAAAATTTTATATACTTTTAATTTTTAATTTTTTTATGTTGATATTAATAAAATTAAAAATAATTTATAAAGGAGATTGGAGGACTAGGTTTCTTGCGCATCAGTATTAATTTGACATGGATCGCTGTGACTACGTGCATGGGCAAGTAATATGAATTATTGGTGCTTGTCAAAGACTTGGCAGTCACCAGTCACAGTCAGTGTGAGAACACGAGGAAGCCCATTCGTCGGACTTGGTCTACTCTGACCTTTTCCTTCATTTCTTTTTTACTGACCTAAAATCAAATTTGGATTGCTTAAATTTGAACAAATTAAATTTGGATGATTTAAATTTAAATTGTTTATTTTTATTTTTATTTAATATTTATTAAATAAAAATAATGAAATAAAAAATAAAAAAATTAAATAAGTTTACTTTATTTTCAATCTGAACATAGATATATATGATTTAGTTTAATATTAAATTTTTTTATAATTTTTATAAATTAACTATCAAGATTTATTTTAGAAAATTCAGATTTAATACTAATTTTTTTATAATTTTTATAAATTTTTATTTTTATAAATATAATATTAAAAGTGAAGATAATCTCTCAATTGACACTTTCAAAAAAATATAATTTTATAAAAAATATTAGTTAAAATTTAAATCAGAACCATTTAGAGTAAATTTTGATAATCAATTTATAAAAATTTAATATTAATTTTTAGACCTTTAAAATTATATCTAAATTATTTTAATTGGTGATAAAATAGATTTATTAAAAATTTTATTTTTATTTTAATAATATAAAATATAAATGTAAATAAAAAAATTTTAAATTCGGACCATCCGAATTTAATCTAAACCAAATTTAGATAGTTTAAATTTATTTTAGATTAGTGAAGAGAAAATAAAAAAAATGTTAGTAAAAAGAAGCCAAGTCCCTATTTGTTAATGTCAAATTTTGAACATAATTAATTAAAAAAAAAGACTCATGTGATGCACGAGAGCATGAATCTATATTATTTAAAAGAAATAGAGAAGACAATACTAAAAATTAAATTTTATTAATTTTTTAAAAAGAAAAATTTAAAATAATTATATTTTTTAATTTCTTCAGCAACTACTATTCACTATATTTTTTAATTCCTAGTACAATATAATCATTTTTTTAGTTATTAGAATATAAAAATACAAAAATACTTTATCTTATTTCCACATAATTTGTCTTAGAATATATGAAAAATAAGAGTAACATTTTAAAATATAAAGTATTTTTAATTGAATATCACCCTAATAAAGTAATCAATAGTCTTCAAATTAATATGATTTTTTCATATTTACTTTTATTTAATAAGATGCTTTATTTTAAAATAAATATAAAATAATTTATTTATTATAAACACTTTTGGAAAAAAACACACTAATTAAATCTTGGAATACCAAAAGGGTCTTATATTTTTTTTAATATCTAACCTTTTATAAAAATGACTTACATTTTTAAACTGAATGAGTATAATTTAAATTTAAAAAACAAAAAACATAATTTTAATTTTAATTTTTGTTACTCCCTCCATTAAAAAATATAAGGCATTTTTTAAGGAGTTGAATGTTAAAAAATGTAAGACATTTTTAGTCTTTCAAGATGTAATCATTGTCTTTTTTTTCAAAAATGTCCCTATTAATAATGACTTTATATTTATTGTAAGGTGTTTAATAGGGGTAAATATAAAAAGATAGAGTTAGTTTAAAATTAAATAATTACTTTATTGAGGTAAAATTTAATTAAAAATGTATTACATTTTTGAACGAAAGAAGTATATAAAAAATTAATTTTTTAAAACAATTGTAATTTATAAAAATAATGATAATTCAATCGGATGGAACTACAGTGTCAATCCGACACAAATTACAAAGGAAGGAGATTTGGGTTCATACTTCAATCTAAAGATAAAAATGGATACCGAATATTTGATTTGGGTCATACTTAAGAGGTTGTGAAGAGTTTGAATTTTAGAAATACAACAACATTGATAATAGCATTTCCACTTGAAAACATCATGTTCTGGCCTGACTAGAATAAGCTTAACTTCACTAAAATCCCTTCAACTTGACGCGGGATAAGTTTAAGATAAGATAGCTGGCACCCTAGTAAAAGCAAATAGATAGTGAAGAAAGAAGTGAGACTTGTATTAAAAAAATGTACAATCACTCATTCGCCCTGGCTTATACTAAAAATGAATTATATATCATTCACAAGTCGTTTTTTTTGTAAACAACGACAATATTATGTTTAATTAATATAAAAAGAAGTAAATACAAAAAAAAGTTGAGTCCATTAAACAATGGACCCATTATCAAGCATATTACCTACTGCAGGATAATAATTTGAGGACGAAAAGTAAGTTTTCAAAAAGCAGGCTGATCCTTTTAATGTCTTCCAAAATATGATTCTTCTCTCTCACAAATGTTCCTCTTGGATCTTTTTGAAGAAGTTGATTTCCACTGGTACGCGAGGCAGGATATGATTTGCAACATGAATAGCAAGCCAGTGAAGCAAATTTCGAACCCAGACAAGAGATTGAGGTATAGATCTATAAGAACTTGCTTGAATCTTCGTCACCGAGTACAGTGATTCTTGGCCAAGGCAAAAATTAAAATCTCATTCTTTAATTTTACCAGTTTGCCTTTTCCTGACCCAAACTTCCCATCTATGCAGAGATGGGTTTGGATTGGTCATTCACAAGTTGTTGGACATGCCATGTGAACGCAACCCCTAAAGAAATGTTTTCCTTTAGCTCTTAAAAAAAGAAAAAAGCCCACTGGGAATAAATGAAAACGGAGCGATCTCTCTCCTAGTCCCTCCCTCCTGTTCTTGGTTCTGCCTTCACATTATGAGGGTGAGATGGATTTTTAAAAAGAAATTAATCCAAGAACGGGAAGAGAGACCCAGAGGAATGGCAAAGGTACGAAAAATCTTTGGGTTGACTGTAAGAATCTTGTCCTGACTTAATAATCAATTAGTCGGGTCAGGGCTGTATACTGATAGCTAGCTTCCAATGGCTTTCGCCACGTCTTCCTTCAATTTCTAGCGTTGACTATTCTTCTTGGGCGTCCAAATCCTTTCACCGCTTTCTCTCAATACGCGTTTTGGTTCGTTGGTGGACAATATTTCCTACCAAGATCTCCAGTGAAACGCTATCTGAATTGGATATTATTTCACCCTACCATTGTCGTGTACACGAACAAACACACACGCTGTTTAAAGTTTTGTGATTGCTACTACCAAGTTCAGAATGGACAGCATATCATCTGGTCCTCTGTTGTTGATTTCACTTCTTTGCTTTGCTTCTCTACTGCTAAAATGTCACTCTTCTTCCTCAGACGAGCCGAAGGTCAAACTCTGTTCTGTCCGTTTTTCTCGGTTTTCTGATTCCCATGTTTCCGTTTCTGCTAATTAATTGCTAATTATGTCTTCTGAATGCATCAGACTTACATTGTCTACACGGGGAACAGTAAGACTGATGAAGCTTCTGCATTGTCACAGTACACAAGCTTGCTGCAAAAAGTCTCTGATAGGTACTATCATTCCACTAAAACTAAAAATTTCAAGAACTTGAAAGCTTAAACTTTTAAATGTACATACATAAAATAATTTCGTTGTAGTTTTTCACACTTCTCTTTCACTCCAAGGAAGAGGTCAACGATTTACATCCATGGGTAATTTTATTTGTATATCCGACAATAAATTGCTTCCGTTAAATTTGCCTGATAAATATTAAAAGGCAAGATTGCGTGTTACAAAAAGTAAGATCCTATTGTGCTAGAGAAATAAGTAGGAAGTCGTGTGTACTCTGTAATTTTGTAGATCCGAAATTGAACATCATGCTTAAACTTTCAATTTGTATCTGTAACTTCAGCGATGCTGTGCCCAAGTCAGTTCTCCATCACTACAAACGGAGTTTCAATGGCTTTGTTGCGAAGCTAACAGAGAAACAAGCAGAAACAATGTAGAGTGAGCGAGAAGACTATTTCTTTATCTTCTTCCATAACTTACTTGCACTGTATTCTATTCACAGTTGTTCACCCAGAAAATTCACAGTGCAGGACTTGATGGTGTGGTCTCCGTGTTCCCCAGTCGAAAGAGACAACTCCACACAACAAGGTCTTGGGATTTCATTGGTTTCCCACTGAACGTGCAAAGAGCCACGACCGAAAGTGATATCATCATCGGAGTTCTCGATTCTGGAATCTGGCCTGAATCCGAAAGCTTCAGTGACAAGGGATTGGGCTCACCACCTAGGAAATGGAAGGGAACATGTCAATCCTCACCTAACTTCACTTGCAACAAGTATATTCTCGTGCACGTGTACAATGTATTCAGTTTTAGTAATCTTCACGTACAATTGTCAAGATGCTAGAGACAGAATATCTTATTTATATTGCATAGCACACACCATCGACTGATTTTGCTGTCACTGCAGTAAAGTCATTGGGGCAAAGTATTACAGAGCTGATGGATCATTTGGTGATGAAGAGAAGTCTCCCAGAGACAATGATGGCCATGGGACTCATATATCATCAACCGTGGCTGGGAACCCAGTGAACCACGCAAGCATGTTAGGGCTGGCAACAGGAACAGCAAGAGGAGGTGCTGTATCAGCACGCATTGCTGTCTACAAAGTTTGCTGGATCGATGGTTGTTATGATGCAGACATTCTCGCAGCTTTTGATGATGCCATTGCTGATGGGGTGGATGTACTTTCAGTTTCTCTTGGAGGGCCAAATGACCAGAATTATTTCAGAGATGGACTAGCTATTGGAGCTTTCCATGCTATGAAAAATGGAATATTGACGGTAACTTCTGCTGGGAATTCTGGCCCAAAACCTGGATCACTCGTAAACTTTTCACCTTGGTCTATTTCCGTGGCTGCTAGCACCATTGATAGAAAGTTTCTTGCCAAGGTTGGTTTAGGTGATAACAGGACATTTGAGGTAATTTTAACTAGTAGCCATAGTTTCAATGAACAAAAACCTAACAGTTTTTCTCAAGTTTAATGATGATCTCCTTGTTTAATGTTCAGGGACTTTCTGTAAATACATTTGACCTTAAGGAACAACAGTACCCTATAATTTATGGAGGAGATGCACCGAATATTAGAGCAGGCTTTGATGGATCTTCATCCAGGTGACAAAGCCTTGAAATCCTTCAAGACAAGACTTGAGACATAATTTATTTTCGTTCATGAAATAGTGTTATAAGTGCAGGTCTTGTGGGGAAGGTTCGTTGAATCCAAATTTAGTCAAGGGTAAAATTGTTCTGTGTGAAGGCAGAAGCAAAGCAGAAGGTGCCTTCGTGGCTAAAGCTATTGGTGCACTTACACAAGGTCAGAATTCCAGAGACTATGGCTGGTCTTTCCCCCTGCCTGCTTCGTACATTGACTTGCAGGATGCTAACAGCATTTTTGTCTACATGAATTCAACTAGGTATTAACCAGTCGCCGAAGTCGCCAACATCTTTTAACAATGTCTTGTGAAGAATATTTTTTTTTTTTAAATAGAATTCCCTAACAAATCTTGCAGGAATCCAACTGCAACCATATTTAGGACTAACGAGGAAAAAGATACATTGGCCCCTGTGGTGGCTTCTTTCTCCGCAAGGGGTCCTAGTCTTGTTTCCCCAGATATTCTCAAGGTACCTTGGCTATGTTTGATCATCACTTTGGTTACTTCAATATATATATATATATATATAAATCAGGGACTTATCTTTATTACAAATGTTCCTCCCTTTCTCTTTAGCCGGATTTAGTGGCCCCGGGAGTCAACATTCTCGCTAGTTGGGCTTCAAATGCCTCTGTTTCTGAGGTTGACGGTGACAACAGAAGTTTGCAATTCAACATACTTTCAGGAACATCCATGTCATGTCCACATGTTTCTGGAGCTGCGGCTTTTGTTAAGTCATTCCATCCTGAATGGTCTCCTTCTGCTATTCAATCGGCTTTGATGACTACTGGTAATACATCTTCTATTCTTTCATGTTAACACTATATTTGCCCACCTGTTATCACAGGTTCCACATAACTTGTTTCAACTTGCAATATGGTAATGCTGAAAACTGATCACATATCATCATGTGTGTTGGTGGTTGCAGCTAGGACATTGAGTCCCAAGATTAACCGAGATGCAGAGTTTGCATATGGAGCAGGTCAAATCGATCCTGTAAAGGCAGTGAATCCTGGATTAGTATACGATGCTAGTGAAGCTGATTTTGTGAGATTCTTATGTGGACAGGGGTACACCACGAGGACATTACAGCTCGTAACAGGAGATAACAGCAGCTGCTCTAAAGCAGCTAAAGCAAGTGATTTAAACTACCCTTCATTTGCTCTTCCAACCCCTCCCTCCAACCTCACTGTGAGTGGTAGTTTTAAAAGAACTGTTACTTATGTTGGGTCGGAAAAGTCAACATACAAAGCCACTGTGAGTGGTCCTCCGGGGCTGAAAATCCAAGTGAACCCAAGTGTTCTTTCCTTCACTTCCTATGGTGAAAAGCAGAGCTTTGTGCTTAGCATTGAAGGAAGCTTGGAAGCATCTATAGTGTCAGCATCTTTGGTTTGGAGTGATGGTATGATCCCAGTGAGAAGCCCTATTGTTGTGTTCAATTCACCTCAATAGATCTTTATTATTTTATGATTACTATTAGACATTGAATAAATTAATGCAGAACAGAAGTATCCAACGTTTTGTTTGAAGAATTGCGTTGGATCATAATGTTGTGGTAAATACAAATGAGAGAGAGGAGGAGGGAGGAGGAGGGGGGGAGTAAATGTCCATTTTGAATTTTCACTCACGTTTTGTGTGGCACCAACAGATTTCGTAGTGAGCGTAATATCACATGCTTTAGGAACAACAGCAATAAGATTGGCTCGGTTTTTGAGCGTTGACGACAGATACAAGTATAGAACGACGTTTCAGAACACACACAATTAGACTTGAAGATCAACATTAAGAAAAGAACGAGAGTGAGATCATCAAAAGGGACCAGCTTAATCCATAATCAAGAAGCATAGACAATCTCTGGAATGCAGATAGTGCATTCATATCAACACACTTTCTGCTGGAAAGGGAACGCGAGGAGGGGGGGGGGGGAGTAGAATTGACCATTATTGTAATCAATTAGCATGACGGATGACAGAGAGAATTGGATGATTAGGAGGGGTTCCGTTGTAGTGAAAATGGAAGAATTGGATGCCGCAGCAAACTCGACCACAATGTAGCAGCTGACCAGATTGCTTTCATGTTCATTAATTGTGCTGAAAATTTTAATTGGATGTGTCGGTTTCCTAATTCCTAAAGACTTTTGAGAGAGAGAGAAGGGGGGGGGGGGTTGAAAGATGACTAAATGTGTGCTGTGTGCGTGTGCGTGCGTTTTTTTTTTTTTTGGAGGGGGGGGGGGACAGTAAAGGCTAGAGCTGTTGACAAGCGTGGGATTTTTCTGACTATCCAATTGAGATTTTATATATACTCCTTTCATTTAAAAATATAAAATATTTTTAAATTTTTAAAATAAAGTTATTATCTTTTTTTTAAAATACTCATATTAATAATGACTTTATATTTATTGTAGGGTATTTAATAAAAATAAATATAAAAATATATAATTAATTTAAAAGTAGATAACTTTTTTATTGAGGGTGAAATTCATTTAATAAATGTTTACATTTTTGAACGGAGGAAATATATTTTTTATTTTTTCCCCTTATAGCAGAAGATTGAAATTGTTAAAAATTATTTTGATTGAAGTTATTAATATTGTAAAATAAGTTGAAATTGTTAGTTTCATTTTATTATTGAATTAATATATGAAAAATAACATAATTTTTAAATTATGTTCAATATAATAATTAGAAATTTAAATCTCGTCCCGGAACCTGTCAGTAAAAACCAAGTTTAAAACATGTCAATTTAAAATATTTTAAATTTTTGAGATTGAGTTCTTAAATGGGATTGCGCAAGCCCAGCTTTGATAAATTTATTTAAAATCATTAGCTAGCCAATCAATACCCTTCATACATACATGAAAGCCGATTCCCTTATAATATTGAGCCACGACATTAATCAGTTTGATTACTATATTAAATAGGGTAAGACTTATGCACGCACTCTCATATACCTAATATATTTATATTTTTTATTATCAAATTTTTTAATTGACTATCAAGTTTATTATTTTTACGCTTATAACTTATAAAATTATGTCAACTTGCTTATAAATTTGAATTAGATATAAACTCAATTAAATTTGTTATTTTTTTATTGAATCAAGTGAGTTAGATATGTGTTATATAGAACTCGGTTTGAAAAAGTGATAGGATCGGATTCAAAGAAAAATAAAACTTAAAAAGCAAAATTAATATTAATAAAAAAAGAAATGTCAAAAATAAGTTTTTTAATTTTAAAACTTCTATATTGAGTATGATAATATATCAATATAGATGGATTTAATTTTTAATTATTTATATTTAAATTAAAATTATAGCCATATTTTATATTTTAATTATTTAATCATATATTTTTAATGACTATTTATTATTAGAGATAAACTCTTATGAGTTTATAATTTAAATTTACAACCTTGTCATGAATTTATATAAACTCATGAGTTTATTCTTATAACCGATCAAATCAACAAGTGAATCTTAATATGTTAATAAAATTAATAATAAGAATTTATTTTAAAATAAATAACATATAAAAAATTTATATATTTTGATTTAATTAAAAGTAAGTATATTAAATATATTATACTAAGTATATAAGTTTTCCTCTATTAAATATAGTTCCTTTTGCCCACTATGATTTTTTATTTTAAAGTATTTTCTTGAAAGAATATTTCCTTTTTAGATATTAAGTGTCTACCTTTTTAACTTGCAATAATGATTTTCAGTTGAAATATACTTTTGATCTTTAGCTTTATATAAAGTTTTAGTTTGGTTTTTTAATTTTATAAAATATTTTTTTAATCCTTTAATTCGAACACCATTAACTTCAAATTATTACTTTTTGTGTTAATCATTACTCTTTTTGTTTAAAAATGTAAGGTATTTTTAACTGAATCTCACTCCCAATAAAATAGTTACCTACTTTTTAACTAACTTTATATTTTTATGTTTATCCCTATGAAACACTCTACAATAAATATAAAGTCATTATTAATAGGGGTACTTTTGAAAAAAGGACAATGATTACACTTCAAAAGACTAAAAATATCTTATATTTTTAAACATCTAACTCTTCAAAAAATGACTTTGTATTTTTGAATGGAGGGAGTATTATTTTACAAAATTAAACTTAATATATAAAAATTTGATAATTCTTTGTCAATATTTAAAAATTTAATGTAGGAGCTTTTTGTTGATGAAACTAAACATTAAATAGTATTAGGATTAAATGACTGAAAAAAATTAAAAAATCAACATAAAATTTTATGTGTGCAGTACAGTTAAAGGATTAAATATGTATTTTAGCTAATATTTTTTTTTATTTTTCCTTGGCTTGGTTCTTTTTTTCCTCCTTTTATACTCATTTTTTATTCAATTGCTTTTCCATTTATTTTTCAAAAAGCTTAAGGAAGTGTTTGACCAAACAAGAAATGCAAGGAAGTGTTTGGATACCGCATCCAACATCCTCAAAAGTCATAATAAAAAGAATATAAATGTTTGGGAGATGACAACTTCTTAAATAATACTTAAATAATTAAAGAATTAATTTTATGATTGCTAGCTGTGGAAATACCTTGATAATAAAAAAAAAAAGCATGTTCTAAAAAATTGTTTGGATAAAAAAATTATTTTGAAAGTCCATTCACAGAGTCTAAAAGCTATTAAAAAATTAGTTTGCCAAATATTAAAAAAGGATTTACTTTTACTATTGTAAAAGTCAGTATGATAAATGTAATTTTAATTTTCTAGAAATAAAAAACACATTAAATATTAATGAAATGAGTATAATCCTCGAAAGAAAAGAAATTAATTTCCTTGAAAATTGTTGCATAATTTTTTTAAGGGAAAATATTGCTTTCATTCCCTGTACTTTGCTCAAATTTTATTATAATACTTCACACTTTTTTTCAATGTTCAAGATTCTTATATTTTTTTTCTGTCTTTAATGTTGGTTTCTATAATTTTAAAGAGACGTTAATGTAGCACAAACGGTCTAAATTGTTGATGTGTCAACTAACGCTAGTGTGTTAAGTAAGTATTGAGTTGAACGTCTTAATAAGTAAAATAAATTAAAAAAGTTACATCAAATAAAAAAAAGGTTGACCTAAAGAAAAAAAAAACTCTCAACTTAAATTATCTATAAAATATATCAAAAAATATTTAAAATATATTTTAATCTTAATTTTTAAACTTTAAGATCTATATATTTTAAGTATCACAAAAATATATTATATATTTTTTGTAATCTAAAAATAATCAATTTTAAATATTTTTTGTAATCTAAAAATAATCAATTTTAAAATAAAAATTAATCTGAATAATCATGGCCCGCGCGAAATTGAACTTAATTTGTCTAGCAACTGCTGACAAAGTCAAGTTGGCTGTGTTCCGTGCCTTTTATCACATTCGACAATTGAACTCGATTCGTCTAGCAACTCATGAAGCTTCCACTTGGACAATTCCATGCAATTTATTTCCCCCAGACCAGAAGAAAGATACATCGCTCTCTGATATGACACAATTGACAAATATGAAGCCAGCCTCTGTACGACACTACCAGCAATTACGTACCACGCTAGTTGCTCTAACGTAACCTGGCCACCAGCTAAAACTATGGATATTTCCTCATCAGTATTCATTTTTCATGTACTCTTGCTTTGTAAGTCAATATCATTAGTACTGAACAGGGGAACCAGCTTTTTTGAACTTCACTTTCAGGGTGAGAACCCAAGGCACACTATTCCTTTTTGTGAAAATATTGAACATAAGAATGGATTCATACTTTCACAGTCTAAATATGTAAATGCATAGTGAGAACAGAGGGAAGTGAGACTTATACTGAATTGTTCCGTACGACATCACTCCCTCCCCACTCTCTCTCTCCCATCATTTACTAGGGTCAATGTAAAAGATTTAGACCATTTAGTCCCTACTAATTGATTACTGTATACCGTTGGACATGTCTCTGATAGCTAATTTCGGTTTCAGCTCCCCAGTTGGGACGAAAGTTTTATGACACACCATGTGAATGCTGCAATCGCGAAACAAATGCTTCCCTTTAACCTGTATGTGCAACCCACTGGGAATAAATGACATTTTACGATAGATGAGTCATTGGGTTGATTTTAGGAACGGAGTTCTTCTCAGTAATCAATGTGATGGATCTGCATACTGATACTGATAGCTTCTAATAACTTTGGCCATGACTACCTTTCTCGTTTAGACTTTTCTCCATGTACATATGTCCAAATCCTTTCACGAATTTATCTCAATACGCGTTTTAGTTCTCTGTATATAAACACGGACACACGCCACCGAGTTATGTCATCGCTACTATAGACGAACTTCAGAATGAACAGCATACTGTCATCTGGTCCTCTCCTGATAATTTCACTCCTTAGCTTTGCTTCTCTTCTGCTTAAATGTCACTCTTCTTCCTCAGATGAACTCAAGGTAAAACATGTTTTTGGGTTTTGAATCCCCGTGATTTAGTTTCTGGTTATTAATTATGTCTTCTGATATTGCAGACTTACATTGTCTACACCGGTAAGACTGATGAAGCTTCTGCTTTGTCCCAGTACACAAACTTGCTGTAAAAAGCCTCTGAGAGGTAATATCAATCCACTTCTAAAGCTAGAAGTTTCTAGGTCACGCGTACGACTTTATCTTAGAACGCTGAAACTTCTACACAAGCAAAATAATATTTTCATTATCGCGTTTCACACTTCTCTTTCACTCCAAGGACAAACTCAACGCCTAAGTACACACATTGATAATTTGGTTTTTATATCCGGCAGTAAATTACTTAATTTCATTAATTTTGCCTGATAAGATTAATAATCAAGATTGCGTGTAACACAGAGTAAGATACTATTGTGCGAGAGAAAGAGGTTAAGTGTAATTTGTCAATCGTCATGCTTAGATTTTCAATTTGTATGTGTACATCAGCGATGCTGTGCCCAAGTCAATTCTCAATCACTACAAACGGAGTTTTAATGGCTTTGTTGCGAAGCTAACAGAGAAAGAAGCAGAAACAATGTCGAGTGAGGGAGAAGACTATTTGATTTTCTTCCTCATATTTTGCATGCTCAGTCTTGGACTCAGAATTGTTAACCCTGCAATTTCACAATGCAGGACTTGATGGTGTGGTCTCCGTCTTCCCTAATCTAAAGAGACAGCTCCACACAACAAGGTCTTGGGATTTCATCGGTTTCCCACAGAACGTGCAAAGAGCCACGACAGAAAGTGATGTCATCATCGGAGTTCTTGACACTGGAATCTGGCCAGAATCCGAAAGCTTCAGTGATCAAGGATTAGGTCCACCACCTAAGAAATGGAAGGGAACTTGTCAATCCTCGTCTAACTTCACCTGCAATAGGTATATTCTCGTACACATGCACAACATATTTAGTTTTAGTAAACTCCACGTCAAACTGTTTTCGCTGTCAATGCAGAAAAATCATTGGGGCAAGGTATTACAAATCTGATGGATCATTCAACGGTGAAGAAATGTCTCCAAGAGACTATGATGGTCATGGGACTCATGTAGCATCCACAGCAGCTGGAAACTCAGTTAGCCAGGCAAGCATGCTGGGGTTGGCAGCAGGAACAGCAAGAGGGGGTGTTGTATCAGCACGCATTTCTGTCTACAAAGTTTGTTGGTCCACTGGTTGTAATGATGCAGACATTCTCGCAGCTTTTGATGATGCCATTGCTGATGGGGTGGACATACTCTCAGTTTCTCTTGGAGGGTTGAATGATAAGAATTATTTCAGAAATGGAATAGCCATTGGAGCTTTTCATGCTAGGAGAAATGGAATATTAACGGTCACTTCTGCTGGGAATTCAGGACCCAGACTTGGATCACTGGGAAATTTTTCACCTTGGTCTATTTCTGTGGCTGCTAGTACCACGGATAGAAAGTTAGTTACAAACGTTGGATTAGGTGACAACAGAACATTTGAGGTAATGTCAGCTAGGAGCCAGATATCAAGTTTTATTAAAAAAATTTGACCCATTTTTCTAATGGTTAACAGTGATCTCCTTGTCCTATGTCTAGGGAGTTTCAATAAATACATTTGACCTTAAGGAACAACAGTATCCCATAATTTATGGAGGAGACGCACCAAATACTCAAGCAGGCTTTGATGCATCTACATCCAGGTGACAAATTCTTGAAATCCTTCAAGTGAAAGAATGAATGGAGACATAATTAGTTATTTTTGTTCACGTGATCGTGTCATAAAGTGCAGGTCTTGCAGTGCGGGTTCATTGGATCCAAATTTGGTGAAAGGCAAAATTGTTCTGTGTGAAGGCAGAAACAGAGCACTAGGTCCCTTCGTGGCAGAAGCTGTTGGTGCGATTACACAAGGTCAGAATTCCAGAGACCATGGCACGTCTTTCCCCTTACCTGCTTCGTACATTGACCTGCAAGATGCTAACAGTATTTTTGTCTACATCAATTCCACTAGGTATTAACCATTAACTGAAGCATTCAGTATCTACTAACAATGTCATCTGAAAAACATGTTTTTTAATAGAATTCATTAATCAAACTTGCAGGAATCCAACTGCAACCATATTTAAAACTAACGAGGAAAAGGATACATTGGCCCCTGTGGTGGTCTCTTTCTCGGCAAGGGGTCCTAGCCATGTTTCCCCAGAGATTCTCAAGGTACCTTGTCTGCCTATGTCTGATCATCACTTGGTCACTTCAATATGTACATAAATTATGGACTTATCTTTATTACACATGTCCCTCCTTCTCTTTTAGCCGGATTTAGTGGCTCCGGGAGTCGACATTCTCGCTGGTTGGTCTCCAAAAGGCTCTATTTCTGGGGTTGGAGGCGACAACAGAAGTTTGCAGTTCAATATAATCTCAGGAACATCCTTGTCTTGTCCCCATGTTTCTGGGGCTGCCGCTTACGTCAAATCATTCCATCCTGAATGGTCTCCTTCCGCTGTTCAATCTGCTCTGATGACCACTGGTAATACATCTTCGGTTATTACATATTTATCATAGGTGCCATATGAGTTGTTGCAACATAGTAATGCAGAAAACTGAACATATATCATGTGTTTGTTGGTGGTCGCAGCAAGGCCATTGAGTCCCAGGTTTAACCGAGAAGCAGAATTTGCATATGGAGCAGGTCAAATCGATCCTATAAAGGCGGTCAATCCTGGTTTAGTATACGATGCCAGTGAAATAGACTTTGTGAGATTCTTATGTGGACAAGGGTACACCACAAGGACATTACAGCTTGTGACGGGGGATGATAGCAGCTGCTCTGGAGCAGCTAAAGCAAGTGATTTAAATTACCCTTCCTTTGCTCTTCCAACCCCTGCCTCCAACGTCACTGTAAGCGGCAGTTTTAGAAGAACTGTTACGCATGTGGGGTCAGAAAAGTCAACATACAACGCCACTGTGAGTGGTCCTCCTGGGCTGAAAATCCAGGTGAACCCAAGTGTTCTTTCCTTCACTTCTTATGGTGAAAAGCAGAGCTTTGTGGTGAGTGTTGAAGGAAGCTTGGAAGCATCTATAGTGTCAACATCTTTGGTTTGGAGTGACGGTAAGATCCAAGTGAGAAGCCCCATTGTCGTGTTCAATTCACCTCAATAGATCATCATTATTGTTACTATTAAACATTGAATAAATTGATGCAGAAGTATCCAGTGTTATGAAGAATTTCGTTGGATCATTATGTTACTGTTTATAGAAAAGAGAGAGATCAAAACCCCACTTTCAATTTTTGAATTTTCACCCACATTGTGTTATACCAAGAGATTTTGGAATGAGAGTAGCATCACAAACTTCAGGAACGACATCAATAATATCAACTCTGTTTTTTTGGGTTAATGTCAGATACAACGTTTTAAAACCAGTTAAATCTGATGTACATATTGTTTATCCTGTGAAGCGTATACAGTTATACACAATCTCCGGAGTCCAGATAGGGCGTTCATATCAACATCCACTATATCCTGTGAAGGCACTGCGGAAAAAAATGTAGAATTTGACCATTATAATCAATTAACCAAGCCGGTGACATACATAGTTAGACAATTAGAAGGAAGGGCTCCCTTGTAAACCATTAACTAGTGCTATAGGGCTACAAATTTTCTTTTTTCCTTTACCAGTACGTTTAAATTCACAAGATTAAAAAAAATTCAAGTTAATTTTACATTATTATATCTTTTAAAATTTAATATCTCTTCTATTATTTAAATCAATTGGGACGGACGGTGACACCCGGCTAACGTCGCATTGGCTTGGTCTTGTTGCCGATTGAATGAAACATGCTAGGTTTAGCATATAGAATTTGAAGCTGATAGAATTAAAATCATATTTTATATAATGAAAATAAAATAATCGAAAATGCCCCCAAAAAGTTTTCTGATAACGCTCTAGAAAGTGATATTTGGCAAGAAGGAAGACATCTAGCAAAGAGACAAGTAGGAATAATATAAACATCTTGCGAGAGAGGATAGTAAAACACAAACTCTACCAATCCCCAGATATTTTCCTAGAGCACAAACTCTATAATATTTTTTTCTTTAAATATTTTCATGGCAAAAACACAAACTCTAACAATATATTCATGGCAAAAATATTTTTTTTTAAAAAAAGAAGTTTAAAAGGACAATTTGGGTTCCATTACTTACAAATTCTAACAGATATTATATGAATTTTCAAGGGCCAGTACTCTGGTGCCATAATGACATATTCTGCTGTTGATGAGTACATATTCTGAATTTGGATAAAGCCATTAGCCATAGATCCTTCTCTTATGAATGCCACTGGAGAGAAGTTGCTTCAAACGCATCAAAACCTCAAGCTCTATCACTCCATTTGGCAGATTCAAACATGCTCACTTCATGTTCGTGGCATCTCCTCTTGTCTCTCTTTTGCAGTGTTCTTGTTATTCAGACACGCTGCCATGATCCAAAGGTAAAATATTATCTCCCTCTCTCTACTACGTACAGACTGATTATTCTAACTGATCTTTGAATATGCAGACGTATATCGTATGCATGGGGGAGCATCCGAAGGGAATGAAAGTCACAAAAAAGCATCACATGAGTTTGGTTCAAAGAGTCCTTGGCAATGGCAGGTTACTTCTTACTACGTTTAAGTGATAGGGCTATTGGGTTTCACTTCTCTTTGTAATTTTTTATAACTAAATTCTTTCAAAGAGAGTTTCATAGGAGACTGACTGTCCCAGATGGCTTTCTTCCATAAAATCTGCATCAGAAGCCTGCTTTACTCCTACAACAAGAATCTCAATGGATTTGCGGTAAGACTAACACAAGAGCAAGCTGAAAGGATGGCCGGCACAGTTCAGACATGTTTTTTCTCTTCATATATAATCCTCTCAAACACACACATACACACACACTGACGCCAAATTTATCATAAATGGATGGCGTGATCTTTGTTTTCCAAAGCAAAACGCACAAGCTCCGAGCAACGAGGTCATGGGACTTCATAGGGTTTGCACAGCAAGTGAAAGGAACAAGTATGGAGAGTGACATCACCGTTGGTGTAATCGATTCCGGAATTTGGCCCGACTGTGACAGCTTCAAGCCTTCAACGACCAAGGACTCAATCCACCGCCCGGGAAATGGAGAGGATCTTGTCAAAACATCTCTTGCAATAGGTAATATCAATACATTTTCACCATGCACCATAATATAACTTGAAAAGAATGCTTGTTTCTCAATGTTTGTATATATGTGTAGCAAGATAATTGGAGCAAAATACTTTCGAATGGGTTGTTTAGCAAGGATGGTATTATATCTTCAAGGGACTCGAATGGCCACGAGACTCATTGTGCATCCGTAATTGCTGGAAACTTGATTAGCTCAGCGAGTCTATTTCGGCCAGGCTCAGGCATTGCAAGAGGGGGAGTACTATCTGCTCATATTGCTGTGTACAAAATTTGTTGGTCATCTGGTTGTCAATGATGCTGACGTTCTCGCAGCTTTTGATGAAGCAATCTCTGATGACGTTGACATACTTTCTGTGTCACTTGGTTCTCACACACTCATATACCGTGACTTGTTTCAAGACACATTTGCAATAGGAGCTTTCCATGCAATGAAGAAAGGCAGTCCAACCTCAATCGCTGCCAATAACTTGGGTCCAGGACTTTCCACCATGACCAGTTTTGCGCCTTGATCGCTTACTGTGGTTGCTTCAACAACTGATGGAAAGTTTTTTTTACTAAGGTTCGGTTGGGGAATAGCATGGTTTTTGAGGTGATACTGCTCTTCTTCATTAACACTTATGCTATGAAATTAATAAGAATGGTTAAAACTTACGTGAACTCCTATAACTGCAGCGTGTTTCAGTGAAGAAGTACCCGTTGATTTACTCTGAAGATGCAACCAATATCACTGGTGGGTTTAACAGTTCCATATCAAGTTATTAGATATATTATTATTTTTTATTTAAAATATTTTTGGGTAATGACATAAATGATTCATTACAATGGAATCTAGCTATCAACTGTTGAACAGGTCTTGCCTTATAAACTCTTCGGATGAAGCCATGTTGAAGGGGAAGATTGTTGTGTGTGATAGGTTTTCAAGAGAGAATGCAGGAATAGCGTCAAGGGTAGATGGTGGTGTTGTTCCAGTCATTTCATCAAAAGATGTGGCATCTGTGCTTGCTCTTCCTGTCACCTTGCTTACTCTAAAAGATGGCACACCCATACGTTATCACTTAAATTCAACAAGGTACAGATTCATTAAACACCATAGAACAAGAGATTCATCTGAAATCTAGTTATTGTTTGTTCTGAAATTTGTTTTTTGTTCTACACATGATCTAAAAATTTCTTCAGTAACCCAATGGCTACTATTTTTAAGAGCAATGAAGGCACAGATTCTTTGTCCCGTTACATAGCTTAATTTTCATCAAGATGTCCAAATCCAGCTACTCCTGACATTGTCAAGGTGGGGGTCATCACAACTAGTTATAAATGCTTCTTGTATTTCCCTTCAAAGACATTAGAGGTTATTTTGATGTTTATGTTGTTAATGACAGCCTGGTATAGCTGCTCCTGGAATTGAAATCATAGCTGCATGGTCTCCTATTTCTCCTGCTTCAAAGGTGAGAGGCGACTAGAGAGCATCAAACTTCAATATAAGATCTGGCACTTCCATGGCTTGCCCTCATGTTGCTGCTGTAGCTGCTTATATTAAATCATTTCATCCCGCATGGTCCCCAGCAGCAATTAAGTCTGCCCTAATGACCACTGGTAATTAATTAATATTAATCCATCAATGTCAACTTAGGTTTAAGAATCATTGTAAACCTGCCTTGGTTTTTGTTTATGAACATGCATATATTTATTGCAGCAACTCCTATGAGTTCCATGCTCAACCCTGAAGCTGAATGCACATGGATCTGGACAAATCAATCCCATTAAGGCAGTGACTCCTGGTTTGGTATATGATATCAGTGAAGCAGATTATGTGAGGTTCTTGTGTGGACAAGGTCATAAGACAATTTCTACAATACATTATGGATGGTCACATCAATTGTAAGAAAACAAAGAATGAAACAGTGTGGGACCTCAATCTGGCATCCTTCACACTTAAGAGAAACACATCAGTATCTTTTAGCAGTGTGTTTCATAGAACCGTGACAAATGTGGGAGCAGCTGCATCAGTATACGAGGCTAAAGTGATTGCTCCATCTTTGTTATGGATTCAAGTGAGACCAGATGTTTTGTCGTTCTTATCAGTGGGTGAGAAGAAGTCATTCACGATTACAATTGAAGGAAGGATAAATGTGGAGTTAGTCTCTGCTTCTTTAATTTGGCATGAAGGTAATTTCTAAGTGAGAAGTCCCATTGTGGTGTATAGTACTTAATTAGAACCGTACACTGATCATCAAGTATCAGTCAATCCTTTACGAGTTAATGAAGACTCGTTTGTTAAGTATTAGTATTTTTTAAGGAAAAAAATTGCTGAATTAAATCAAGAGTATAAATGTACCCAGGCACGTGTGGCTGCGCACGCGTATGTTGTGTTTGAATAAAGAGGAAAACATATAATTTTTTTTAGAAAGGAAGCGTAATGTATTTTCCATTTCCTTTCAAAAAAGTGCTTTTTATGCATTAAACATGTATTTTTTTGGCTAACAAAAGAAAATATGTTCTAAAATAAACTGCAATGGACTGCGGCCCCTCAAGATTTCAGGACTAATTTTTGGTATTCCCATAATTTAAAGATAATTTTTTTTTTGAAGTGACACGTCGTCTTGAATTATTATTATTATTTTATTTAGAAAGAGGCAACCGTTTTCATTACAGTTTTGGTCATGTTCTTTATTTTTGCATTCCTAGGAGTCTTGTAAATATTAAATAATATGCTAGTGGACATTGAGAGACCTAGCTAAAAAAGTAGATTCCCTTCAATCCAAATTATAAAATTATCTTTTTAACTGAACTTAATTTAAAATATAGAACACTTAATATAGCTTTAGTCAATATTAACCACTACTGAATTAATTAACTAAAGAAAAGTAATAAAATTTGTTCTACTATGCATCGATAACAAGGAAAGTAAACGTTGTAATAGTCATTAGCGTCCATCATAAGATATCCATATCTTTTACTATTATCTTCTTCTCCTTTTTCGTGTAAAGATCTTTTATCTATTTTTCTTGGGGTGAAAATTGAGAAGTCTTTTATCTTTTTTATCTGACAATTAGCACTTAACAGATTTAACAGAATGGTGATTGATGTAGTGAGTCATTTTAAACTCACATGGATTCAAGCACTTTGGACCTGATTCACTTGTTATAGATCTAATCATATCCCTTATGATGATTATGTGATTAAATTACTGTTTCGCTATTGAATTTTTAATTTAAATTGATAACTTAATCTTTTTAAGTTTTGTTATTAAAATTGTGTTTATGCGATGTTAAATTATATTGAGGTAACTAATTATGCAACACCTTAAGGCTAAAGCATCACCTTAACTCTACATATAGGGATAATTCGAGTTAGGGCCCTCAAAAGGAAATTCATCACATGCAAGGCCCAATAAATTTTAAAACTTTTCCATAGGTTCAAAGGCTTTAATTACAATTAAATATTTTGGTCCAATTAGTAAAGTACTCCTCATTTTTTATAAAAGACAAAATCTCATTGTTGCCAACGTTGAAGCCATTGTCGAAGCTTCATTGCCGGCAGACAGACTATAGATGTGTCGGAGGCCGAACCTTTGATGCCTGCCTCGGGCCACCATTGCTCTGGCATGAGCAAGTGGTCAACATGGGTCAATTGATAGAATTTGATCTTTGACCCCTTGAGTGTTTAGAAATAATGCTACCATTAAATTATTAAATACGTTTAATTATATATAGCAAAACATAATATATATTATAACTTATTTTCAAGCATTTATATGACCGACTATTAATTATGGGAGTGTTGTTGAAATCCAAAAAAACCATTTGTAAATATTTAAACATGATTTATTTATATAAAAAAGTTGTCAATTTTTTAAATCTAACTATTTTTCAATTTATTTTAATGATGTGTTCCTTGAATATTGACATCTTATCAATATCACGACAAATAAAAAATATATATGTTATAAATTTAATTTTTATGTATTTTTATGAGCTTTAGTTAATCATAGACATATTGTTGTTCATATCCAAATAAATTACTTATAAATATTCCAACATGACTTGTTTATACCAAAAAAAAAAGTTGCCAATTTTTGAGCCCAATTTCTTCAATTTTTTTTAACAACTTGTTCCTTGAATGTTGACATATTATCAATATAATGCTAAATAAAAAATATATATGTTATAAATTTATTTTTAAGTATTTTCATAGGCTTTAATTAATCATAAATGGATTATTGTTTATAGTCGAATAATTACTTGTAAATATTAGACATGACTTGTTTATATATGAAAAAGTTGCCAATTTTTAAAACCCAAGTTGTTCCTTCAACTATGTTATCAATATTATACTAAATAATATATAAGAAGAATGATAATAAAATTTCTTCGAATTATATAAACGACAATCTAATCTTTTGAAATGTTATAATTTCATTAAAATCCATAGAAATTTCTATATCAATAAATTTTTAAAGTGAAAAGACCAGTTTGCCCTTATTAACAAGCAGTGATTTCTTGTTGAATTCTTGTGATTCTTTAAATAAAAGTTATTATTTTTTAAATAAAAGTTGTTATTTTGAGAACTTATTTTTCAACAATAAAAATTATACTTGACAAGTTATAATTTCTTGTTCAACTCTTATGATTCACAGAATAAAAGTTATTATTCCTTAAATAAAAGTTGTGATTATGGCTTGTTATTTTTTATACAAAAACTACACCTAACAAGTTGTAATTTTTTATTTAATTCTTGCAATTTACGGAATAAAAGTTGTTATTCCTTAAGCAAAAATTATAATTGAGGTTTGTTATTTTTAATAAGAGTTAAATAATATTTTTAATTTAAAATTTATTGAAACAGAAGTTTCTAAAGACTTAAGTAAAAGTATGGCATTTTGAAAGAGCATATTGTCATTTATATAATTTGGATGAATTTTATTATCATTTCCCTAATATATATGTGTATATACATGTTATAAATTTATTTTTCAAGCATTTTTATGAGCTTTGGTTAATCATGAACACATTGTTATTCGTATCCGAATAATCACTTGTAAATATTCAAATACAACTTGTCTATATAAAAAAAGTTATCATATATATTTACAAGTGATTGTTTGGATATGAACAACAACGTGTTTATGATTAACCAAAGCTCATGAAAATACTTGAAAAATAAAATTATAACATTTATATTTTTTATCTAGTATAATCTTGATAACCTATCAAAGTTAAAGGAATAAGTTGTTAAAAAAAATTGAACAAATTGAGTTTTAAAAATTAATAACTTTTCATGTACGAACAAGTCATGTTTCAATATTCACAAGTGATTATTCAAATATGAATAACAATGCATCCATGATTAACCAAAGCCCATGAAAATACTTGAAAAATAAATTTAAAACACACACACACACATATTATTTAACATAATATTGATACCATGTCATATTCAAGGAACAAGTTGTTAAAAAATTAAAAACGTTGGGTTTAAAAAAGGGAGAATATTAATGAAGGACTACTAA